TCGACAAAGCCATCGACAGTTTTATGTACGAAAATATCTCAAATGGAGAGGTTCATGCCAATATTGTGTCAAATTTTCTGTGTCTTCTATTGTCATCAAAATTTTACCACCACTCAGCAGTGCATGGAAGTTTTTTTTTATTCAAAAATTCCTCTGTACATTGTCAAGGAGTGCACGAAGGTATTTCCAAGCACTTACATCGCAAATACCGACGAGCACAAAAGGTAATAAATTGATTATGCGATGAAATATTTCAGTAGCTTGACTTGAATACTAAATGTGAGAAAAATGCTCTGTGTTCTTTATTCTCTTATTCTTGAGAGAAAACGTTGATAAAAAGAAATATAAAGCAAATGCGGTGTAAGGTAAATGAAGTGGAAATATTCCCTTATAAATTTTTATTATATTAGCAACTATAAAAGTTTAATTGAATAAAGGTAATTGGAAAATTGCTGCAAGAAACTACATATATTGCACAGAGGAAAATCCATGCTTTACTTTACTACTAATCTGAATATTCAAAAATACCCGTAGACAACAATATCTTAAATCTAGTAGATTTTAAGATTTAACACGCTCTCTCTCACTAATTTATCTAACATGTACACAAACACGGAGTGCCATTACACTCCCTCGGAGGTGCATTCACGACCTTATGGTGCAATTTGGAGGGCTCATGAGACACATCACTAACTTTGTGCTGAAGAAGTAATGAAGCTCTCCTGTTACACCGTGTGACAAAATGCAGAGTGGAAAAACACGAGAGATTTTCCATTTTCAAGGGCTTCCTAGAGCATTTCACCCAGGAAGTGAAACTATATAGTCTGGGGTGTTCGAGTATGAGGGGAAGCGACGAGTGTGTATCTAATATCATTTTAATGAAAAACTTATGTTTGCGCTCTGTGTGAAATTTTAGGAAAATACGTCGCATGAATAAATTTGCATTAAATTTACTTGTGTGTGAGTGTGTGTGTGAGTGTGTGTGGTCTCCTCCCCTTAATTCTCCCCATTTTACATCTCTCCCTACCTTGAGGCTCCTCTATTCTCCCGTTCTGCAAATGTATGTTTAGCGAGTGCGAATTTAACCAACATTCCAAATATGGTTGAATGTGATGGAAATACAGAAAATTCGTGAGCTTTGTGCGCGCAGGAGTGCGGGACGGAGGTGAGTTGGGTGAAGATGTTTAACACTCTGCGGAACAATAAATAACATTTATGAGAAAATCTGTGTGCAAACCACAAAAGCCACGCTGAGGGAAAACTTTCAAGGGCGCCCAGGAAAAGCCGCGCGCCACAAATGTAGGTGACATCCTTGCTTGGAACATGATGAAAAATTGCTGCTCTGCGTGTGGATTTTTTCCAACCGCCCTCCAACTCCTCAGGCCAACCCCACACTCAGCCCGTCATCCGGACCACTCTTCATTGCGATGGCAATGCGAGAACTTTCCGAACTCATCCTCCTCTCAAATCCCTGTTTGCGCTCTCTACAGTGTGAGCAAAAATTTTAATTTGATTGTACATGCCTAGAATGAGTGAGACAGGAGCCTCAGAAAAAGTGCGCGGAGATTTAATATATGTATGTGTATGTATGCTTAGGTGTTCCTAGAAAAATGGTGCGTCGCCCTAGCATACATACATGACATGTGGGACCTCGCGGCAAGGAGACGCACATGTTTATTGATGTAACAAATCGATGTGTCAACAGATGTATCAAATTTCGAATCGTACTCACATCGTGATTCATTTGTACACCCCTCCAGCTCTTGCCTTTCAGTCCGCCTTTATCCTTACATCCTCTCTTGGAAATTAAACGGAATACCAAACAATACATCTAGCGAAGTGCACATCGAGTTGAGAGCAATGAAACATCCAGTGAAAATGATATGATTTAAATACCGTGAATCTCTGAACGGTTCTATACATACATTATCAATTCAATATATACATTATATTCCATGTCAAAATGCAGAAATACTCAATAATTCACAGTGTTAGGTATTAAAAATTACCAGTGCCGATTTAGAAAACACCTCACGAGACATCATTTGAGCCTCTCTTGAGCGACACCCCGTGAAAAATATAATTTCACCATCTTTACTGACGCTCTCCGCTTTTTCTCTTTTTTTCTCCAACCCCAAAAATTTCCCCCAGATTTTTTTTGCTGCGCACCAATCCTCTGAAAACGAATGGGTGACAAGTAAGGCGGCAATGTTGGCGGGATATACAAATGGAATTCATAATCAAATTGTAATGTGAGTGACAATTTTTCTTTTTCATCTTTTTCCCCAACTCTCTCTCACGTGTATCCACGCCTAGGATTGCACAAAGAGATTTTCACGAGGAGAAAATCTATTTCCCATACGGCGTCATCCGGCACGCAAATTCTATTTCGCAGCGTAGTTTCAGTGACAGTGGCAGTTGGAAAAGAAACATAAATTCTCAATTTTCACCTGAAACTTTTTTACCCAAGCAACAAACTTTGCCATATTAATCTGTTTGTATATAGTTTTAATGTCTCCACGCTTTTGCAGTTGCGTTTATATTTAATTTTCTATATTCTTCTTCGCCCTTCTGCATACATGCTAATGGATATTTTCACTGGAACTTTGCGCAAATTTACATAAAGTCTCATAGTCATAAGAACTCAAAGTATTCTAAATTTTATCATTCCCTTAGGATTTACGTGTGACTATCTTTAGTCATGACACCAAAATTATCTGACTTCACGTGCAAAACATCCTCTATTTTACATATGCGTATTCAAAGGACACTATAATAAAAAATATAAATTTCCCACAAATCTGAACTATATAAGCTTGCGGACAGCACGGAGAAATTTAGGGCAAGTCCTTCAAAATTTAAATGCCACCCACGCATCAGGAAACCCAATGACCTCTTCTTCAGTGTTCTGTTGGTGCACAAGGAGGTAAATCCGCCCACGTTCTTTCCGTATAATATTAGTTAAGAGCAACTTTTGCCTGCAAATTGAATCACTAGACGATGGAACTTCATGGGTGTTTCGTGTCCTACTCTTTGTCCTAGCCCAATACAGAAAAGAACTGACAGTGAATCCCAGAGTCAAAACTTTGCTCGTCTACCTGGCGTGACAAATTGAAATATCGCTTTGAAGAGGAGACACACAATTCACAAATTTTTCCTTTTCTCCATAGCAATATGACTAATGCTTCAGCCAATTATGTGACACTCTATAGCAATAAAAAATAGAACAAAGACGTGATAAGAGAGTGAGATTCATTGACCAGCCCCAAAATAGACCATTCAGATACTATTTTAAGTGCAAATTCCTTAGATTTATCACATGCCGAGAGGCTATACACACATCCGTTTTCTGATAGTCTCTTTTCTGAAGAACAAAAATTCCTTTCACGTGAAACTCTGTGCATTTGGGACGAAATAATAAAAAAAAATCATTAGAAACTGCATAAAAATGGGGGAAGAGACTCAAAACAGCAGTTGGATTGAACTCAATTTAGTGTTTTACCTCTTTTTGTAGATTATCTTAAATCAAATTATTATTGAATTGAAACAACAACGGAATTTGAGTGCCAAAATTTACCATTCTACTCAAGAATTACGTAATTTCGACTTCATGTTAGAGAAAGTTAGGCTAAAGCATGTGTTCTGAAAGTGTATTATTCGAAATAAAATTCAATATTAAATATTATGTAAATTGCTCAATTCGATGAACCCATCAATAACATGAAACGACCGTTACCTGATCGCAAAGAAGTTGCTAACATGTTGCGTGAAGAATGCTTGGTCGTCCAAAATATCACACACACTCGTACATTCATGGCTAAAGACGGGAGGCAAATGCAAGATCATCCGAAATATTAAACAGCCAGTAAAAAAACTTTTTCTCTGGTAAACACGCCATTGGGCAGGAGGTATATAAGAAAAATCTTGTGACCGTGGACGCGATTAATGTGTCATTTATAGATCGCTGCTGTAGGTAAAAAAGTCACCGAAGAATTTAAATTTATATGCTGGCTCCAAGGCGGGCCATCCCTCTTCACGGTTTTTATTACTCTCATCTGCTCGGTGAGATTCAGCGGTCTGCTCGTAATTAGCATAATTGAACTATTGATACATATATTAATATTCATCGTTTGGCGCTACAAGCAAAAATAGGAATATAAATTCAACTTGTTGATTTGAAGATGATCCCAAGACTACGCGGTTAGAGGCCAAAAATCAAAATTTCTCATTGAAATCGTAATCTTTGTCTTCAGTTGACATCGCATTGAAGGTCGAACGTCGGCTATGAGAACAGAACCAGAAGTTAATCGATTATGTATTGATCTTCTCACAGCAGAAACCAGAAGTCGATAATAGGAGTGGAAATATGTATGTACTTTTCAGTGAAACCCGACAATTGCCGGCATTGAGTTGAAAATGAAGGGGTCAAGCGACTATTAATTAAACATTCAGACAAAACATCTTGTTAATTACTCTCCTGTCTCACCGATGTATTGAATTTTATTGTCCATCATCGTCGTTTGACGAGGGAGAAGAGACACAAAGCATGAGGCGAACGTGAAACGGTAGTCTGTGAGGTCTCCATAAAGATGAGTGTGAAGGTAAAAAAGGAACTCAATAAACGCATTAAGAGATTTGGGTGAAGGTATGTGTTTAAATTTTGTTCAGAATTTAGAGAAAAAGGCATAATCTTGGGCGCGATAATCTTCCATACACGCTGGAGGAAGAGAGAGGCAGACCATCTTGCACAAATTAGATGGCTTGAGTCTACTCGCGGTGTTAGGAAATGAATTTTGGTAAAAGAGATACAAGTAGTTAATTAATAAATTTCAAGTTCATTAGCGCAGTGCTGCGAACAAGACCGCGGCAAGAGATATGACGCACAGTGATCATCTGTCTTTTCTTCTATCTCGACGATCCGACCAGTGAAAGAGATGGAATTCAGCATGTTCAGCATTTATTTTTTACATACACTTTATTTTTTATTTGCTTCTATAATATAAGGAAAAGGTATAAAAAGATAATTTATAGTTCATTAAAAGACAAAGTACCTAATATTAAAAAAAAAGTTTATAAGCTCCGTTATAAGATGCAATAGAGGAGCATTTATGCAGATTTAGATGTTCTCACAGATTCTTACGCTAACCCATCGAATATCTTAGTCTGTATGGCAATTCTGGCAACCGAATCAGAGTGGGATCTTAGAGAAAATCCGTCATACCGGAATATTCAGAATTACTGGAAGATTGGTCGGCCATCGAATGTATCCTGATCAATTTTGATGCTGCTTTGAGTTCCAATTTCAGCGCCTAACTTATTAGGTGGGCTCACAGATCCTTCGAATTTAGTCAATCCTTCAGCAGCAGCATTGCTGCCAAATTGATTCGATTGACTCTTAGCCTGAGTTAGGGAACCACCTGTTCCACCTAGTGCACCAAGTCCGGCGGATCCACTCTGTGCTCCGGAGAATGAGTTAGCACCAAGAGTGCCAGAACTGGCTGAAGAGGAACTTGCAACGCTTCCAGCTCCACTTAGGTTAAAGCTGGAAGATTGGCTTGAAGATTTGGAACCCTTCTTCCCTCCAGGGCCTTCGAAACTTTCACTGACTGCACCACTAATCGATCCAGCTAAGCCACCGTTCGGCCCCAGATGCTGAGATTGGCTCTGACCAGCACTTCTAGATCCCGCCTTATCTGCCTCTTGATAAGAAACAGAGTCTACTTGAGAGATACTTGATGAAGTTCCACCAGCCAAACTTGTGAGAGTCGCAGAAGATCCACCAGTTGCCTTACTCTGCTTGCGATCCCCTTCAACTACTTGAGTTGTCCCGAAATTGCTTTGGGTCAAGGCCGAGTTCCCTAGACTGTCAAAGTTTGCAGACTGACTTTGACCGCTGCTTTGTTGACCCGATCCATGAGGTGTTTGATAACTTTGATGATCAGTGTTAGCTGCACTCAATTGCCCAGTTGATCCACCTAGGTTAGATGCTTGGCTAGATCCCGAACTTTTGTCCAAAGTTCCAAATTCGTCCACTGTGTGAAATGTCATTGTGTTGGCGCCACTTTGCTGCTGGCTTCCGAATGGTTTGTTTGGTCTAATTTGAAAGTTTCCCTGTTCATCAATGTACACTTCGCCACCAGAGTTACTTTCAGGTAGTTGATTATTTTGCCCACCGGGAGGTTGAGGTTTCAGAACTTGGCTCTGTGATCCGCCATTAGTTTCGGACAAAGATAGCCCAGGACGCTGATTAGGACCTGGTCTTTGACATAAACCTCCTCCACATGAGCTAGCTTGAGATCCTCCGTTAGATTCCGATAGAATTACGCGATCATTAGACCCTGGACGTTGAGCAGGTCCACCAAATGGATAGTCCTGGAATTCGTCATTTGATTGTGATAGAGGCAAACCAATGTTAGATCCTGGTTGTTGAGGGTAAAATTGCTGATGAGAGCTTCCAAAAGAGTCACTTTGCGTTAAGCTGTTGGCAAAACTTGGTCCTGGTGGAAGATGTTGTTGAATAGGACCAAAACCACCTCCAAATTCTTGTTGGAAATTTCCTTCGCCATATGCTGTTGGATAATATTCTCTGTGGTGATGATGCGCCCTGGGATGATGGAATTGGCGTTCTTCCTTTACATTTCCAAATAAACCAAGAGCTCCTCCAATTCCTGAAATCAGTCCCCCAAGATCGAATCTGCCCTGAACTTCTGCGCTAGATTCTACGCCCCTTCTCTTTCGTTCGAATCCTTGGAAATCCGCTCTTACATCAAATTCACCGTCATTTCCAGCTCCATTGAAATCATTACTTCGTCTTTCAGGAATTAGAGAAGTAGGATTGGGCGTTGCAGGTAATGCACCACTCGAAGGCGGTTCTACAGTAATACCTGAACCTTCACTCAAGGTTGGAAATGCAGCAGGTCCTGAGGGCTGAAGTCCACCAAGTGAAGGCGGAACAGTAGTTTGCATGTTGCTTAGACTGAGCACTAAAGAACTCAAACTTGATCCTTGGTTATCTCTAATATTGCTGCCTAGTGGCTGTTGTCCTGGGTTAGGAAACAGTGACGCAATAGTGGATTCTAAATAATCTGGAATTTTTGAAGGTGGCTGACTGGAACTAGAGGGCAACTGACCAGAAATTCCCGAACTAGATAAGACAGAGTCAAGATTAGATCCTGTATTAGACGAAGATCCACCCGTGGTGAGTCCAGAGCTAGGAAAAACTGATGGTCCCAGATTTGACCCTATATTAGTTGAAGATCCACCCGTTGTGGGTCTAGAGCTTGGAAAAACATTTGGTCCTTGATTATCCGGAAGTCCAGAACTAGGAAACACGGGATCAAGGCCTGATCCTGTGTTAGTCGAAGATCCACCCGTTGAAGGTCTGGAACTAGGAAAGACGTTTGATCCTTGATTGCCAGGAAGTCCAGAACTAGGAAACACTGGACCAAGATTTGATCCTACAGTAGACGAAGATCCACCCGTATTGAGTCCAGAACTAGGAAACACTGGACCAAGATTTGATCCTATAGTAGACGGAGTTCCACCGGATGGCCTGGAGCTAGGAAAAACATTTGATCCTTGATTACCAGGAAGGCCAGAACTTGGAAACACGGGCTCAGGGCCTGACCCTGTATTAGTCGAAGATCCAGTAGTAGGAGGTTTAGGTGTCAGCGGTCCAAGGCTAGGAAAGGTGCTTGGTCCAGGAAGTCCTCCAGTACTACCGCCTCCCTGTGGTCCTGGTGCTGGAGATCCAGGTGGTTTGGCAAAGCCTGGATAGCCTGGGCGATTGTGATGATACGGAGGTCGAGGATAGGGTCCTGGATGTTCATGAGATTCGAAGGATTCATCAGATTCAAAAGATTCTTCTGAACTGCCGAAGGGATAGTGTCCATGTGGCGGATGACGGTGATGCCCATGATGGTGGTGGCCAAAATCGTGATGTTCGTGGCTATGATAGCCTGGTTTGTGATAATCATGACCAGGAGGTCCGTGACCGCGGTTATCATGGTCATGCCCATGAAAATCATGGTGATCATGGGGCCGATGCCCATACTTATGATGACCATGATAATCGTGATGGTCTTCATGAGAATCGTAATGTCCATGAAAACCATGGTGGCCGGGATGTCCATGAAGATCATATTCTTCATGTGAATCATAATGTCCAGGAAAATCATCTTCGTAAGAGCCGTGATGTCCATGAAAATCATGGTGATCTTCGTGAGAATCATGTCCGTGGAAATCGTGATGATCTTCGTGTGAATGTCCATGAAAATCGTGATGATCTTCGTGAGGATCATGTCCATGGAAATCGTGGTGACCTTTGTGAGGATCATGTCCATCAAAATCGTGATGATCTTTGTGAGATTCATGATGTCCATGGAAATCGTGATGATCTTTTTTCGGATCATGGTGTCCATGATCATCATGATGTTCCTGCTTCTGTTTCTGATCGAATTCTACACTGGTATGAAGTTCTGATGGACCTTTCTCATATCCATGCTTATGTTGCTCACCAGAAATATCATGAAAACCTTTTCCAGACACAGGTCCAAAAGGCAATGGTCCATCAATGATCGCCGTTCCGCCAATCAGCAGTCCACCGAGAAGTGCAGGTCTTTTGTTATTCTTAGCAAGACCATCAAATCCTGTCTGAGATGTTGCTCCAGAAGTTCCGGCAAATGCGCCTGTAGATCCATCAGACGAAGATGCCTGTGACTGTGCCTTGGATTCGAATGATGTAAGTTTAATAAGTCCAAAATTAGTTTTATCAGTCCCGGACACACTTTGAGAACTCGATACAGGATTAAGGCCAGTTGCAAAGGATCCGGCCTGTGCAGTTGGCTGAGTGTCTAGTTGGCGACTAAGTGTAATTGGCGGGGTTTTATCTTTTGAAACGGATGTGGCCACACCTATTTCGCCCAGATTGAGTTCAGGGCTAGTAGATTGACTGTTGGACACAGTGTTTGAAATACTTAGGCCGCCAAGATTCATGGAGTTCGTCAGCGAACTCGTGCTCATTTGACTTTGAACACCACCAGTTGCCGTTTGAGATTGACTGCTTGCTGCTGTGGTGGAAATATCGAGCAAACTGCCAACGTTTAGCCCTTTAGTAGTACTGTCACCGCTAGCACTTGAAAATGATCCAGCAAAGAAGGGTCGTTGAGCTGAAATAATAAATAGGAAAGTTTTGTAGTTACTGATGGAATTTGGAACTGTTGTGAGGATTATGTCTTTATTGTTTGTTATCAATTAAATTAGAAATATTAACGCAAAACTTTTTTTTGTATATTCATCCTTGACGACATTCACTTTAAAACAGTTAAGCAAATGCCTTTGAGTGGAGTAGAAAACACGCAGAACGAGAAATGTGGGCTAATGATATCATCCATTTTTCCAGATTTTATGTTATTTCGGGCATTTCTTAAAGACCGCGCTCTCTTGACGGAAATCTACCCAATTTTTCTTATTGTTTCTCCTGCCGTAAATTAGCATCTGACTAATTGAATCACCCATGACTTTGAGAAACGAAATTTCTACCTTTCGGTTATTGAGTTCACGCGTCGTCGCACCTGATGTGAATGTAACGTGTCGAGCTCAATTACTCAGTCATTGATAAGACGGTGGTCTTAGTTCTCCCATTTCGTCTTTGCCTATTAACATATTTTTTGTACATACATGTATGTGGTCAAAATGTTTTCCATAACTCTTCATGATTTGCCCGTGAGACCCACAGAATGGTACATCATTTGGAGAGTCTCTCTGCTCTTAGGGGTTTTCAAGTTCAAAATAATTACCAAACAAGTCCACATATGCCGCGATGGTATTCTATTTATTTTTCTATTTAAATAAATCGTCAGAATGATTTTTTTCTCACCTCTTACACGCGGAAACCGGTTGCAGAACAATGTGAGATGAGAGAAAAAACAGATGAAATATTTGTTGAAGCTTCATTTGAAGGCTTTATCATAAAAAAAAGTATAGTGCAAATCAACTTAACAAAGCTCACAGATTGTGGCACATCTTATTAAATGACGCTCTTCTTCTTTTATTTAGACTTGCAGAAATTCAAGATTACTTTGCATTTTCCTTTTTAGAGTTTATCCTCAAGCTTTCTCAACCTTGAATGGTCATATTGAACTGGTTGTTAGCACATACGCTAAGATTGAACTCATTTACTTGCACACGAGATAATTTCACATGCTCTGTCTAAGCAAATTTACATGAAATTTTCTATATTGCGCCCAACAACCCCACAAAATGCCATTACATCATGAGCGGTATTTACAGAAGCACATCACTTCACCTCACACACATCACAAAGCTCATTGTTCGTAAGTCTCTTTCCAGAAAAAATATATGGTAAGAAAGAGGAATTTTTCATTATACGGGCATTCCTCATGGAAGAGAATGAAATATTCCAAGAAAAATCCAATAAGTATACTCACCAGAAGAAATACAAAATATTTCTGCTAAACTCCAAATGAGAACGATATATTTGAGCATTTTCACGGTTTTTCCCCAAAGCGCACTCTTGTGAAATAGAATTTCGTTCGTCGGTGAGAAAAAAAAATCAAACAAATAATTGTTGGATAAAAACTTCACACACTCAACTTTAATTAAATTTCTATCTCAAAACGAAGTTTTTCTTTGATATGCACAGACGGAAAAGCAGAGAATATATAAGAGCCACTTTTCCGATGCAGAGAGAGCACACGTTTTCGTGCTCTGTCTGTTGGATGCTATATCGACTGCGATTCGAAAATCATTGGATAAAATGTTGAGAGGGAACTTCTTTGCTAAATCGTGTTTTTTTTATCTCTCACAGCAACACAAAAACGCGCGCGGGTGATCCAAAAGCTCCCCTGCATACTGTTTATATGACAAAGTTGTACTGAGAGGCAAACAAGAGACTCGCGCGCATTGAGTTTCCCACTTGGGGGCCACACTGTAGTGATTAATGAAGAATCGGGGAATACCTGAGTCCACATACTCACATTGGATGTCTTCCTTGGAGTCTCCATACGCGTTTCCAGTCATAATTAACATAATTCGCCAGCAGAGTCGTTGGAAAGAGTCAGCAGAACCAGTCGCAACTCTTGCTCTTCACTCAGCATTGAGAACTGTGATTCTATAGTGAGTGACATTGAGTATCATGAAAACCCAAAATCTACTCGACCGTGAGCGCACTAATACGCATATTTGATGATAATGAGGGTAGTTGTGCCATGATTAGACCGTTCCACATCAATCAGTGCATGAATTGGCGTGATTCATTCGCCAAATATCGCTCTTTAGTACATTGTGGACAAATATTTTATCTTTTCGCAGAAAAAGTTTGTTTTTTTTGGGCTTTTTTCTTTCTTCACAATGTACAACTTGCTTGCTGGACAATCTTTTTTATGCGCTCACGCGCAAAGATATCGGGAATACCGGAATTCGTAATGATTGAGACAAGGGAAAAACCAGAGATATACAATGAACCTCTCAGTCTTAAACATCACAAATTGCACTGTCGCCAAAAACATTTTTTTCCCAACCTTAACTACATACTGGTTTAAATCAGTATCAGGGAATTTTAAGGGGTATTTCCCGAAAATACGGTTAATGGTCGGTTTTACTGGCTCTGCATGTTCTACACAGTTGTAGACCGGTTAATGCTCCTTCCGAAATGTCATGACATTTAGAAATCTGTTCACGGATAGTGCCATCATAAGTGGCTAAGTAATGAAGTGTATTAAACGCATAAAAACATGATTAGTCAAACTTGGAAACTCTAACCATAAAAAAGTGATGCTTGCCAGGAATATACAGCATGTAATTTGATTAAAGACAATATTTGTGAAGCAATTGAAGTCGCATATTCCCTGTAAATTTAGTGTCTAAGATCCAATATCTTCAATCATAAAACTTCTGTGATGCGGAAAAATATCGAAACACTTGCAATTTCCAGCGAGAATAGCTGCAAATTTGTAATGTCAGTGCTTAAAAATATAGGAATCCATTTGCAAATTCAATCGCACAAGATATATCTCAATTAATAAATCTTCAGACTCCCCGACACAATTTCAGCCACCTCACTCCAGAGCCAGGAGCACGAGATGTGAAAGCCGAGGAGCGAGAGCTCGCCAGCATAGCGTCTGAGCATGTGTGGAGGTGTGCCAAAAATGGTACAGCATAAAAACCATCAATTCACATGCCCCCAACAAATGGTAGTAAAGTTGTATGGTGTGGAATAAAATTAAATAAACATAAAAATATTACAGGACACTATCATGGGGGATGCCTTTGGCAAATTCACGCTGCACATTATAGAATTTTTTCGTTGTTGTTCCGCCTGTTGTCGCTGGTCTTACGTGTTGTCTGCAGAGGCACATTTTGAAAAGCATCCTGCCAGATCGCTAGTGGAGGCTATAAAGATGTCACGAGACAATTCAGTTTAGAAAATTTACAGACTTTGACGGTCTTTCTCTCTCCTCGAGCACTGCATGCTCTGTGACACTCCATTCTCGCCTGCCCCCAAAGTCCCCAACCGCGCACAACTCGCGGCAGCACAGGAGACGCTATAACAAGTCATCGGGGGACTTTGAGGCCAGGACGGAGGCACTCAAGTGAGGCGGAAAGTGAGAAATAGAGATATTGGAATTATGAAAATATTTATTAATAATTTGACATTAGTCTGTGACAATTATAAGTTAATCCCAGAAGAGACCCCGAAATGTGTCAATCAGATGCTACCACAGAGATTACTCAATGATGGCATTGATGAAAAGACAAGAAGCCGCGCGCGGCCATGCGAGGAAGACAAACAGTCTTACCGAGATTCGGATGGATCGCTTCTCATTCGTTTTCTCCACCAATTTGACAAATGACACCCAAAAACTCGTATTTGTACCATGAAGAAGTGATATTAATGCTGACTTACGCTACCATTGACACTTTTGGACAGTTTTTAATGGTCTCTTAGTAGGTAAATTTGTATCAAATCCATCCACTCCGCATTCGTTTGCCGCGCGTATTCAAGTCTGAAAAAGACATTTTCCCCCGCTGGAAGTTTAGAAACTCTTTTTATTCGCGCCCCGCAGACACTTTGTATGTGGTTTCAATGATTCTTCGACGTGTATTAATGGCATCTCATTGAACATTACACCCACTCGCATTGACTCAATTGAGCCATCCTCAGCATCTCTTATCGTGTTTTTCAAAATCAAAATGTCTGGGCGAAATGAATTTAATGGCATTCAATAAATTTTTTCTTGAATCAATTGCTTTTTCTCGCTGTATTTTGGATTTGAATTTAAAGAATTTCCCCAATGAATCTAAGGATATATATTTGGATGATGATATTATAAATTCAATACAATTTTACAAGTTATTCTTGTTGCATGGCTGCTTGATTACTCCTTAGAATTGCATTTTGTCTGAAACTGCCTACTTCTCCCTATTATTATTTTCACAAATTCCATTTTATGGATTTATTGCATAGTCTCTGTTGAATCTTTCAGCATATATCGATTGCAATGTGCTCGTAAGCTTTCTTATCACATACTAAAAAATTTCCTGCTTTATTCATCCGAACCAATATTTAATGTGCCCCCCAGAGAGTGAATCTCAAAGTTCACTTAATAAAACATCGTCAAAACCTGCATTGCAACCAAGCTTACAGATGGTATACAAATATATATTTCCTGTGATATATTTTTCACAAGTCTTGGCAAATGTTGCTCCGTTAATTTCCATGACTGATTGCATAGAAATGCCAATGCAAGTTTTCCATGTGACTGAAGAGAGAATGTGTGTTGAATTTTCCTATGGATAAAAATCACTAATGGGGCTAAGTTCTTATATGAAGTTGCTGGCATCAACAAGAGCCAATTGCTGTTCTCTCGCTCTGTCGAAAGTTGCGCTGGAATTGCTGCGGGGAGTGTGAGAATTTTCGATATTCATGTAACATTTTGTAGAGGGACGTGAGTAAACGATTCAAATACAGTCTAAGTTTCGCATACACACGTCGAATCACGAGAATATTGATTTTGCAATTGAAGCGAACACCCAACTTTTCAATCTGACCTCTCTCTTGCTCCCGCAATCCACCTTCTGGCTCGCACGCCACACAGCTTTGGAGGATTCCTCGGGGGGTGGCGAGTTGGCGCCCAAAATAATGGAAGTCATATTGGCTGGGTTGAGTGCGGTGTTTACAAATTCCTAATGGTCATGTTGGCTTGCAGAAATCGATAGAATTGTGTGTTATAATATCTCTTGTACTTTAACCCAGAGACGCTAAACTTAATTTATGAGCCCATTCACTTATGCCCAGACCGAAACACACACTCATAGCACTTAATTCACGTCTGCCCAAATTTCCTGGCGCTCCATTGCACCAATTGCGAGGAGGGAACTTTCGCTGTGCGGCGCTTAATTCGATAAAGTTAAATAGCGTATCGCCCGATTGCTAGACGTCTTGTCATGAATTTTGGGTGAATCTAGGTTTCGACTTTCTAAGGGATTTGCACGGAAATTTTGTCTCATATTATGTACATATGTAGGCACTAATTGCACATTGCTCATCGCCCTCTTCGCCCGCCCTATCAACACCCCCCAGTTAATTGAGTCACGAACTTAGGCTCATATTTACAATGGGGCCTCGCTCATGACTCTATTGTGACAATTTCAATTTTCATCGTTTGGCATTCCGTAAAAGTTCATCAAATTCAACCCCATCAGCTTTTGTTACAAAAGACAAACTCGAGAATTCTGGATATAATATCGGATTGACTAAAATCCAGAATTCAGGCTGAAGTTCTTCATCGGAACTCAAGCAATTTGTCAGACATGCAAGAAAACTTCCTTTCATGCGCTTTGGCTATTGGCTATTGGATATTTCGTGAACCGCACTTACGCATCATTTAATACATGAAACACCAGAAGCAATAATTACATACACAGATTGCATGTACATTTGCCAAACAGCTAATTGGGTCAAATTTCACCAAAGTCACGAATGGTTAGTGGGAAATATTATCTATTTAAGTCTCATAGTGATAAATCTCCGCCCTTATTCTCGTCGACATGAAAGTTTTCTCCCATGTTGTGTGTCGCTTGGATCTGAGGGTGGTATGCAGAGGTCTAGCTCTCAATGGAAGAGCGCTTCCAGCTGTTTGCCCCTGTTGCTCCATCATTCAATTTATTCAATTTATGCAATTTACCACCTAAGAACGGAGGAGTGCTCGTGTTGTACATGTTGTTTGGATATTGTGCCATGTTTTTTGGGAGGGTGGAATTATTTTGACACTGTCACAACAACCATAACGCCCGCCTCGCTTTCCACCTTCAGCTATCACTGCAAAGTGTAATTAATTCTGGCAGACGAGAATGCTCCGCGCTAAAGAGCTTCGCTGAGAGTATTTTTGCAGGAAGCATATCATTACAGACAATATTTCTTATATTACATCGCTTGCCATCACAATGATAGCAATTTTTTGCTGACTGCTTTCGCTGGATTGCAATCTCATGTCGAATTGACGATGTCTCGATTTATGCTGTCTAGGGTGAATTGTTGGTCTTATATAAATTTGATAAGATCCTTCCACTCCCCATGCACACGATGTCTCCTTCGTGATGGCTTGAGAAAATGTCGCGAGTGAATGACTCCAAACCAGAAGTAATAGTAATTGAGGAAATTGTCGATTTCGTTTAAATTGCACACATTCACGGTGCCGTGAAGTAATTCTATCCGTGCCATTCTGCCGTGGTTGAGTGCTCGAGAAAGAGGCACAAGCCTTGAAGGACTGGCAAATGCATGAAAATTCAATGAACACACCGAGTTTTGTGGGGGTGGAGGGAAGAGGGTGAAAAAAAAACTCAATGAATTTCGCGTGATGCTCCCGCGTTTTATTTTCTTCACGTTTATTAAACGACCGGGAGAGATTGTGTGCAATCGATTGAAATGATGGAAATGGCTGAATGTCTGTCTCTCTCGCCGCACTGACAAAACCATACATAAAACCTTATAGTAGATAATTCTTCTAGGAAACAATAAAGTTTGCCTCTTTTTCACGAGTTGGAAATTCGCGAAAATTTTTTATTGATTGGAAAATAAAACGGAGTGAATGTAATAAAACGAAATGCCATTTATTGTTGTTTGCGTGTCATTTGTGAATTCTCATTTTCTACACAAACGAATTGTACATAATAATGTTGGATAGAAATTGCTCGCTTTGCAGCAACAGCAGAAAAAAATGTGTTGATTTTGGGGCGTTGCGAAGAACACGGCAGTTTGGGGTGGTGTAATGAATTAAATGGCTGAGAAATATTTCGTGGGCATTTAAGTGAATTGAATATTGCGAAAAAAAGACTGCAAACACTCTATTGGCTAATTAATTTGTTTCAAATGTGCCAGAGATTTTTTCGAGGCCTCTATAATGTCTGCTTTTTGCTGTTCAATCTCGCTGCGTTGAAAACTAAGAGAAGAGTGGAGTTGATATTGATCGTTTTGGAAGAGTTTTATTTACTGAATTAACACTTTGAACGAATAGAGGCTAAAAAAGCGGAAAATGTGTTACACATAAGTTGTTTCCCGAAAGATTATTTAGTATTTCAGACTGAAATTCTGTGTTTCATTGCACAATAAAGTCATCACCGATCAATATTGCAGATGTTAATATTAATCGCCTATATTGGACAAAAATGCCTCAATTATAATGTAATCAATTGTGCAGTGATTGTGTGTGCTCTGCAAAGTCTCAAGCCTTTGTCTCTGATCGTTTTTTTGCCCCTCTCGGTGGTTGTGCCTTGGAGGTTCTCTTGTACGCATTCCATGGGTGAATTTGAGGCATCGAGGCGGAAAAGAAGTGACATTGAAGTGGAGCGAATGTGAAAAATGAATTCCACCAGAAATGGACAGCGATTTATTTTCGATTTCCGTTTCTATCGCACATAAAACTGTGCGGGCCAGGGGAGGAGGGGTCACCCTGAGAACCGTCGCTATGGGCGCTTCTGCTCGAGATTTTCCCATGTGCGTGTATCTCAGCGCGGAGTTTGTAAGAAATTGAGCATGTGTGGCTGCAAGTGAACTGCAGATAAGATTGGCATCTCTGTGAGACTGAAGCGAAATCAATCGATCACTGTAATTGATAATAATTGTCTGGAATAAGTTGATGCCTCAATTTGCAGGAGGGCATTAATATATACAAGCTGTTAGATGACTATCAGGGTGTATCAAAATCCAATTGGATCGGGATTCTGACGCACTCTGCTCATCATTATTATCATTGTCGATGTTGATGTGGACTGTGGCGTTGGAGATGGTTTTGGGTGTCGGGAAATAATGCAGAAGCACATTATGGGCGATGTGTGACCAGAGAGTACCGCAGCGTCACCCTCCTGGAAATGGGTGGCAATTGGGCACCTGTTGGGATGGAACGGTGGGCTTCCAATTGTGCGGGCTATATGTATGTGGCGCATACACACACTTACACACCATGGGACAAATATGAAGGAAGGAAGGAAGGAAGGAAGGAAATAACGTATATAGCTATAGATTTGTGGCTCTGACCGTGTATAA